CAGAAGAAAACACACACGGATACACAACAAATCAGCAGCAATACAGCTTCCTTAAAGGTATGTTAGAAAAAACTGAGTCAGATTTAAAGCAGCAGAGGTTACGTTTTAGTCCCTAATAAATGCTGGAACCTACATTTCCCAAAATGCAACCAGTAAATGTCCAGGTCTTTCAAATTCCAAATAATATAACAAAAGGATAGAATCTCTTGATAAATTTATGGATTATGATCATTTACATGGGCAATTTTGATGTTGACTGAGCAGTTTTTTAATGCTAATTTCACAGTAATAAGAGATGTACAGTTTCCTGTTCCCATTGTAAAAAAAAAAAAGACAACAAAAATAAAACTTTTTCCATTACTAAATTGGAGAAATGGATCTGTTGGCACAACAATTTTACTGTGGATCTTGTATCCTCAATGGTTTTCTCTTCAAAGAACCATGTAAACACTAAACTTAGATTAAATTACAACAAGTGTACCTGTTATATTATCAGTGCAGCAGCAGCAACATATGGATCTTGTTCTAGAAAGCTGAATTTAAAAAGCCAATTAAGCGGTAGCAATGCATTACAAAAGCCTAGGTCTAGAACAAAGTAAAAGCTAGAAAGGTCATAGTGTTCTACTTTTTAAAAAAGGAGATTCTCCCTATTCATGTACACATTTTTAAAATTGCTCTGGTTAGTCATGTTGGATTGTCTTTGGCTTTCTGTGCCGAGTGCTGCTTTTACGTGACCTGAAAACACTCGTGCATTTGTGGTGTATTTATAGCTTTTGACTTATTCACAGAAGTGACAGTGCTGCTTCCTTCCCATCATATAAAACATCCACCTGAGACATTTGAACAACCATCATGGCAAATGAAATATGGTGGCAAATTTGTCTCTACTGCTGATCTACACTCGGTCCAGACAGTTAACATGGACATATGTGCTCACATTATGCACAGAAGGGACTCAGATCGTTTCCTGAAATTCTTTAGTAAAAAATGCTATAGAAAAATATCTTTTGAGTATTGATGTACATCAGTGGCTGCTATGCTGTCTCTCCTGCTGTCTTAGCAACTGAATGGAAGGACACGTGTTTTCTGTTTTATAGGCTTCATACAGTTCCAAAGCAAATTCAAAACAGCTGATATTGAACTCTTTTTAGATAAATAGCCTAAAATCTTTCCTGACTGCAATTGAAGCTACAAAGATTTTTGAGAACAAGCACTGATTTATTCATGCTTCTAGGAATAATAATGGTTAATGTCCTTTTGGACAGTCTACTGTACAGTACAAAACTACTTTGGCTTCATGGCTGCATTTTTAGGCATCAATAGAAAACAGAGATTTCCTTGAGGACACACAATCAGTAGTCAAATTCCAAGCAGAAGGCTTCAGCGACACTGTGAAATGAGTCAAACTCTGACCTGCGGCTCTGCTAAAATACATCCGTACTGTAAGAGTGACTCATTTCCGAGGAATAAGCTGAAAGTGCTGAGATGATCGAAACAGCGCACCCCGGGTTAGCCTCTGCTGCTTTGATTGCAAAACCTGAGCTTAGTCACAAAACAGTTCAGAGAGCAAGAGAAAAAAAAACATCCACATGCTGCAAACTAGACAATGAAAGCTGCTTGTGTCCTGACAAATTTACAATGAACAGTTTGTTGAAGTGAATTTTACCTGTGCGAATATCATGGCCGATGCCCTCCACAGAGATGATGGCATTAGCTATTCCATGACCTTCCAGGTCCCTCACTACACCTTTGATCCCACGATGCACCTGCATAAGAAAAGCATGATCCATGCAACCATCAAGTTACCTCATCAACCTCTACTGTATAGTATAATACAATGTGAAAAACCATGATGTGATGATAATGTATGTTCTTCTGTTTAACAGAACTGTTAAACATGGTGTCATTTCCTCTTCTTTCAGCATCAGTATATAAATAAAAGCCATGCTGGGGCATGGGATCTGATCCTGTGAAGTCCACATTATTAGACAGAATACAACACAACAGGTCGACAAGCATGTTGCATTCCAAAATCTTCTCAAAGTGCAGCTGAGAATTTAGCCTCGTTTTGTTGGAGTTTGGAGGACGGAGGTCGATGATCGACTTTGTGGTTGTTTCATCTGACCTCCGGCCATATGTCTTGGACACTCGGGTGAGGGGCGGAGCTGTCAGTCGAGTTGACCATATTCTCCACCTCCATTGTCGATGCGGCCGTTCAGAGCTGTGGCCGTAAGGTCTCCGGTGCCTGTCGTGGTGGCAATCCCCGAACCCGGTGGTGGACACCGGAAGTAAGGGATGCCGTCAAGCTGAAGAAGGAGTCCTTGCGAGCATGGTTGTCTCGTGGGACTCCTGAGACAGCTGACGGGTACCTGCAGGCCAAGCGGACTGCAGCCTGGGCGGTTGCGGAAGCAAAAACTCGGGTCTGGGAAGAGTTTGGTGAGGCCTTGGAGAAGGACTATCGGTCGGCCTAGAAGAGATTCTGGCAAACTGTCCGGCGCCTCAGGAAAGGGAAGCAGTGCCCTGCCAAAACTGTTTACAGTGGAGGTGGGCAGCTGTTG